TAACTTAATCTTATAATAACGTACTTGGTATTGGTCGCAATACATTAGGCATTAAAACATCGACTAGATTCTGATAGAATGTATAGTCCACTTTTTTGATAAAGTCTTGTACTCCTGTACACTGACACATCTGATATAGTTTGGTTCTGAAAAGTAGAAATAAAAGACATTTATTACATATGTTAATGCTTTAATAAAATATAAATTAGAAAAATAATTACATGTAAAAGATAAATATAATTTTTTATATAAAAAAAAACTTTTGCATCTTATTGCATCTTACATCGAGCACAGTAATGATTAGCGCGTTTTGTCTGAGGTACGTGTTTCTGTCTCATCCTTAGATAGCGACGTTTGTATCTTAAATGGATGCATCTCACAGTATACATACATGTTTGTTTACTTAAGTAAATCTATAAAAGCAATACAGAAATGAAAACAATACATGAGCGATAATAATAATAATAATAAATCTGAAATAAAATCAGAAAAACGTAACCTCATCAATTAACTTGTTTAATTATGTTGCAATATGACGGTTGTTCTATTAGATTTTAGCCATCATGATACATTTATAATGACAGTTTAAAATAATGACATATCTTTTCTTTTCTAATTATATATATATATATATATATATATATATATATATATGATTCCTTTATATATTTGATATAAATCTCTTTAATATAATACATGTCATATATACTTTGACAAATACTTCTCCTCTTCACATTCATCACCGTTATTATTGTCCTGGCTGCGCCAGAATTCTCTCCAAAGACTTTCTACCGTAGCGAATTCGAAATTCAGCACCGCATCTAAGAACGCTTCGCAGTGTTCTCTGTATATGCTGCGGAACGTATCAATATCTTCGAGAGTGCAATCCTCAGGCAGGGACGAGTCGTGACTAATAAAAATATCTGGAAAATCAGGAATGGCGCCGCTTGCTTCGCCGAGATACTGGTGATATTGAGGCGATGAGGAATTGGCGGAGATATTCGTGTTCGTGTGCGTGTTATTTTCGTAAGATGAATCTTGCTTTTGATTGACAAATTTGAATCGTTTGGCTTGAGAATTTGCGCTCTGCTGTTGTCTTGATGTGCCATCTTCGTTTATTACACTTAACTGTGAACTTGGCTTAACACGAATTCCATAATAATGATACTTCGAATTTCCCCTACAATAAAAAAGAATGACAAACGTTATTAATTTGATAAACACTACCATTTTCTAATTTGTGAAGTCTTTTACCTAGTTCCTAAACGCCTAGTTCTTAAGCCCAAGAATACAGAACGTATCAATTTGCCAAAACTAGCTGCGTTTACAGGATCTAGTTTGTTTTCGGAGCAATGGCGTAAATAATGATTGTACAGTGTTGATCTTGGAAGGGACACGCCGTCGGCGGTTTCGTAATTCTCCAATAACCAATGGACCTATTGAGATCAATTGCGTAAAAAATTAATGCTTATGTTTTTTACAAATAAAAATAGTTTTTTATTGAAAAATATATATATAGATAAAATAATTCTACTAAAAACCAAAATAGTAATCCGTTTTACACAAAAAAAAAATTATATTAAAATTATTTCTAAAATAAATTTATATTAGCAACAAACAAAAATAAATTAATTTCTTTTAAAGATCTATCAATTGCATAATCACTTCTTATGTGTCTCACAATATAGAGATCCTACGAAAGAAGACTTTAAGAAATGCACATTAGAACACAATACAAAGCAGTTTAATTAATAAGACATGCTATAAAAAATTAGAAATTAATAGTACTGATTAGTACGCTAAATAAGCTATGAAATGTGGGGAGTCGATTTATTTTTTTTTTTTTTGGGCTTACGGTGGCCTGGGAGACTCTAGTAGCATGCGTCACGTTTGCCGCTGTCTCTTCCACGGCGACAGTGGTACCTCCAGAATTACCGCTGATCAAGTACGCCCCGCCACCACCGCTAACCACAGCCTCCTATCAAACAACCCAACATACCGATGTTTCGTTAACCCCCGAATTAAGAAACGAACAAAGATGTACTTCTCTTTAAGACTACTAACATTTGCAATTCTGTTTGCAAACTTTATACTGGAAAAAAAATCCGTAATAATTATTTAAAAAACTATGAGAGAGAATATTAGAGCATTTATATACAAAATGTTGGTAAAACTACACAACTGATTAATATGAATTGTTTTTTTGCTTTTCGAGAAAATCTTACTAGTTGCACTACAATTTACTGAACCACCCTATTTGTATGCTACAAATTTTTATCAAACTCTTGACGCTATAAACAATTATTACGTAACTCTTAAAACTATTGTATTAAATCTGATCTGATACAAATTTTGATGGCTCATGTAATCATGCAGAGCACAGATCCCCATGCCTGCAGCAATAAGGCATAAATATGTATCATCACAAAAGTATTACATTAATCATTCAATCTAATCGAGACCAGTTTATTCAGCGTCTGAAAGATGAAAGAGTAGCCTGAGAAAGTCATAGAACATGCAATTTACCGCAGTCTCGGTTTGCGGGCTGGCGCGCGTGGCAGCTGCAGATATGAGTGTATGGGTCGGATCTCCCTCTACTACGCTCTGTTGAATCAAGTACGTGCCATTGCCCTGCGACAACAGTTGCCCGGTAGTCGAATTCGTGCCTTGTCCTGTAACCTGATGATATAAATAATGTTAATATCGTCACAACTTTATCGCGATAATTATCACACTATTTGAACATGTAATTACCTGTGCATATGTGACTGGTGTTGTTGCTGGAGTGTAGTATTGACCTGAAGCTGGAGTATACATTGCTCCCGTTTCACCAACAGCATAAACAGGATATGTCCTAAGCAAAATATATATATTTCGTGATTGTTATAGAGAACGTTCGGTAAACTATAAATAATGGATAAGTACGAAATTGCGATACTTACATCTGGCCATTCGCTGGTATATACGTGGAACCATCCCCTTCAACATATTGAACGTAAGTTGGATGAGAGATCGACTCGGACCCCACCGCTTCTGCGTCACCGGACACTAAAAAGAGACAGAACGTAGAATGTATTTAAATAAGTTATTTGTATCAACACATAAAATTTAAAGTATTATTAAAATTTTCGGTTATTAAGGAAGTTTGTGTGTAAAATGATTCTTATATGACAATATATGAAAACAAAATTTCTTGCGTTCTTGCATAAACACAAGAAATTTTATTTTTACGTAATAACAGAAAAGTACCATATGTATCTTTGACACAGCACTTGGAATAAAGGTAATTTTGTAAATAATAAAATTACAATCATATTTACGTTTGTCGATGATAATGCTTAGTGGCGATAGATATAGATGAAATAAACTGAATAATGTTAAATATTGGCGCATAAGAATGCAATCCGTTCATTGATCTGGTAATTTCTATGAAATTAAAATGTATAACTATAGATAATAAAGAGGACAAATAAGGCATGCTGGTTATATTCTGCCCTCACCTACAGCTGTTGTGAGGGCTGCGTATGATGATGAATCACTGGTGCCTAGTATGGTCAGAGTAGAAGTACAGAGGTGCATGTTTTTCAGCAGCATGGAAAGGGCCAAATCTCTACTCAAACACTATAATTTTTCAAACTGATCCTCATACTCACCATAAATAGTAAACTTTATTCCCAATTACACGTTTTGTACACGACATTAATTTCTGTCTTTGTGTACAATGGATACTATCTATAGTATTAACCGTTTGCAATTTGATGATTCGCAATTAAATTTGTGCACATCGCAATAAGATCAAATAAGGATCAATTCTTCTCTTCACTATCAGATAAGAAATTTGTACTCAGTTATTACCTGTGACTGTTATATAGTGCGGGGAACCACTGACAATGGTGCCAGCCGATGTAGAAGCAGCGTCGGAATCCACCAATGCGTGCTGACCCGAATGGGTAGTATTGACCACTACCTGTGCTGTAACATGCGCTGGCGTACCTGTTGAGCCGTTGGACGAATCTGCAGCTGTGTCAAGTGGATCCTGAACCAATAACTAAATTATTATTTATAGTATGCATGTCCTCATGACCCATAACTGGATTTTATAAAAGAAATAAAAAAAAATGACATATGCCTCTTGTATGTATATACTATAAATATCTATATATTCTAGATAGAATTGGCTTGGATTTTATTTCAACATTTGTGTATATCACTCTTATCAGTTGCTAGGAGCAGATGGCTCAAATATGTTATCAGATTGGATATGCAGCACCTATAAAAGTATGTTGCAAACAGATGCTATAATATCTAAAAAGATTATATATATATAGAATAAATTTTTATATGTATATTTCTTGTTATATTTTTTATTTTATAAGTACATATACAATAATAGAGAGTAACAAAGAGAAGAAAAAGCAATTTGACATATAATATAAATTGTAATTTACAAGATATAACTATGACATTAGACTTAATAATTCTTGAGAATAATAAAAATAATCATTCTCATAAATGACACGGGCAAAAGGCATAGTAGAAAAATAATGCAGAATAATATTACTAACCTGAATGGGCTGCAAGTTATTTGGACTGGAAGAATCAGGGTTTGTCACGACAGTGATGAACTCTGCTTCTGAGGTTCTAGCAGACTGAGTCTGTGCTACGCTGCCGCTGCCACTGGAACTGGAAGTAGTAGTCACGACAACCACATTTTGCTTAGAATCCACCCCTACTGCCGTGGAGCTACCCCCACTGTTATTAGCCCCGGTGGATGCTGCTGCGAGGGTATACTGGGCTCCTGTCGTAGTCATGGCAATCACTCCTTCACCTCTCTCTGCACCCACTGAGTCGTCGCCACCACCGCTACTACCTCTCCTCTGCTGGAGAGACAAATCTATAACAGAGATACACACATACACCATCTTACTAAATATCAATAACATCTTCTACCAGACTCAGCGGAGAGATCTTAAGGATAGCGTGCCTCTGAAATCCTAACATCAATACTATCTCATCAAAACAAAAATATTACTGATAATTATGAAACAAAATATAAAACATATATAAAATTCAAATATAATCTTATAAATATTTTAAAATAAAGTATCACTTCTAATATCTCTCTTTTGACATAAGCTATTATATTTTATAAAATTACATAAAATCTATTGTGTAGAGTACTCTTAAAATTGTCTGCAAATTAAAATGAAAAACTTTTCACATATATATAATTTTAGTATTAAATATAACATTAAACTGATTTTTTAAACATTTCCTTGAAAAATGTGAAAGAACTTGAACCTATTTTCTATACAATAGCTACAAGATTGTCAAGGAATTATTTTCATATTGAAGAGCGCTATGTACGGTCGCAAGAACCTGTCGATAAAACAAGTTATCGCTAAGGAGTAATGGGAAAGAAGGGACAGAGAGAAAGAGAGAGAGCGCCATATATCGTACTACTGATTTTCTATAATAAGACTTTCGCTTCGGGATGAAAAACCGATCTTGAATCGACGAAACGCCTTTCAAGACCGAGCCGACAACAAGCGCGATACGCGCGTTGCCGAAGTAACGTCACGAATGAAGATAAAATCGCCAGCCGCGTCCCGGCCGTCGTCCTAACCTATATCGCAAAGATCGCAATATAACATACTTTCCTCGCAGGTGCGGCGCATTCAATAATCCGTAGATCAAAGAGAAGCCCCGGCGGGCTTGCGATACCAATGGAACACGTCACTGCCATTATTACGCGCGTGTATCATGTTGTATTGGCGCCGTGTACCTGTTGGGGCGGCACTGCAGGTACCAAACACAATGTATCAAGGGGAAGAAATCAGCCGAGGAGGGAAAGGGATGAGGGTGCCAAGGGGCGCGCGAGGGGTGGCCCAGAACCACGGTGCGCTACCTACGCGTGACTGGACATAAGGCTCGCTTTAAGAGGGTTGGAACGTACAAATGAAAGCGGCACGGGATCACGAAAGCAATTAGAGAGTATTATCCTGAGTCCAGCGTTACAACCCCCGGCTCTTTTCCTCTGAGGATGGACCGGGAGCTAATAAACGACGCACACTACCGCGTTAATACGCTTCGCGGGGGAAAGGTAGCCATGCTTCCTCCCCGTCGCTTTACGTTTCACTTCTCTGCAAATTGTGTAATAAAATACGTAAGATACCTACCTACATCATTTTATTTTATCTAGAGTGTGTTTCCGTTCTAATATTAAAAATATGAGATCGTAAAATATAGGGGAGCTGGTATATCTCGATAAGAAAATCATTGTTACTCGATGGTATCGATCAGGAGAAAATTGTGTAATAGGATCCGATGTTTCCTATTTTGATATATCCATACCAGCTAATTAATGTAGGACTTGGTAGAAAGATGCACTAATATTGCATAAACATAGTTGCCCTAAAAGCCAAACTCACATTAGGCTTTTTTTAGCTAAACTTCGTAACTCACATTTTCTCATTTTTTTTCTCCACGTTGGAGAAAAAGACAGAAAAGATGTGATGATCGAGCAAAAAGGTCGGCTAAATAGAAGCCTTATAAAAAAAATTAAATAATTGAAAAAATGTTCATTGTTTGAATATGATAACTTTGTCATGTATGAATACATATTATTTTTTAAGCTAAAATTTTGAAAACATTTAAATATAATTAAATTCTTTCATGTTTCTGTAAATAAAACTTTTTGTATTATTATTTTTCCTGAATATATACAAAATGAATATTAATGGTTACATCAATTTTTTTACCATGGCAGATAAATTATCGCGTTTATTTATAAAGATAAAATATCACGTTTTTCATTTTCGATCGCCCGAAATAAAAATTAACGAACTTCGAAAAAAACAGGAAACTCGTAGCAAGAAATACAATTGTCGATAAAACGGTCGCAAAGGGAGAAAACAAAAGGTAAAAAGCAAGAAACGGGAATCAAAAAGCATATTACAGAATAAAGCTTAAGACGTTTTAAAGACGTTCAAAAATGTTCATCAAAGTTATCATATTCAACCAAATTTTTTTCGTTCGCTTAACTTATTTCGTAAAGCTTGTTCTTATTAGCCGACCTTTTTGCACGATTCATCTTTTCTCTTTTTTTCTTCAACGTGGCAAAAAAAAATGAGAAAGACAAACCAAGAAGTTTAATTAAAAAAATAAAATAAAATAAATAAGATCAACTTTTAATTTTATTCTTCCCAGTTGCAGTCGATAATTTATCTCCCATGGTAAAAAGCTGATTCAACTATTAATATTCACCTTGTCTAACGTTATGTTTGAAGAGATACCTGACGTAGTATTTTGCTGCAAATATTACTAGTGGGCTGATATGGGCTTGTGTTTGTTACCTACACACTGTAATATTACAAGTGCACCTGGCCTCTGTTATGCATGGCTGATGGGGACAGACTTCTGTTGTCCGCAAGTCCTTCCTATCCATAGGATATGTTTACGTATCCTGTACATATATCGACCTCCCCTGTGTAATTTGTATATGAGAAACCATTATTTAGGCTTGTTAAACAGAAGCTATACATATCTGCCTTTTATATTAATATATCCATTCTGGTTCCAATATTCTGGAAGCGATATGCACCTGGAGTCAGATAAACCCGCAGGCTGAGAATTTATGCAGATGTTGAAAAGTAAAATGGCAGAGAGATAAGGGATAGATAACGCGAAATCAAATGACAAACAGTAGAAGGGAAATTAAACTATGGAAAAATTAAACGTACTTCTATTATTTGCAATAAGTGCGTTTAGACGGGCCGTCCCTCAAAGCAAGTCGAGGCAGAGATTATTGAAAAGGATTAAAACATTCATCAGAGTTACAGGGTGGAAAATCGCATTCATGTAATTGATAAACCCATTTTAATTAGAAATCTTCATTACATCTTCATATTAGACGCCCTATAGGAAATATAGTATAATAGGTTCATCAATGCGTTACAAATTAAGGGCATCTATCTAAAGCAGATCTCTTAGCAGAGAATAAAGATATCACCTTGTTTCGATATAACATTTAACTGAATCATTATTCTTCAACAGATCGATATATCGTGCCAGAATTGAAATTGTAAAATTATCTAAAAAGAATCCCCAAAAAATTCAGACTTTATTTTCTGCCCTAGCTCCAGGTTCTCGCTTGAATGAACCAGGTAAAATCGATTCTAACGGTTCACCCTACCTAGAAGCATTTCTCGTAGGTTGCTTGCGTTATGAACGGATTCAACGTGATCGACATCACTCCAACGAGCACTATTCCATGTTCCTATGTTCACGCTAAGGGTGTCTTCCAACAAGAGATACAAATAACAGTGTAACGCAGCACATCATTTTATCTTTGCTCGAAGCTGACAAACGACAAGGATGTAATGATTTAAAATATGGACTTTCTACAATAAATTATTATCTAAGCTATAAGTTCCAAGCCATAAAAAATTGACCAAAATCATAGTCGATTATTCTTCTCACATTTGACTGAGACTGGTCAGTTTCTTATAACTTAGGATTTAAACTGAAGTAACAGATTATTGTAACATATGTGAACACTGAGTATCATTCTTACTTCATTGACAATCAGTGAATAATACAAATAGAGAGATAGAAAAAAAGATAAAAGACAGAAAGAGAATAGAGAAAGTAAATAACAAAAAAATGATACTTGTGTTGATTTGTGTAACCAAAGAAAAAGCACTCTGGCTGTTACACGTGTCATTTCTGGATGCTTTTCAGCAAGTGTAACATAGTAATTACATCCTTGATGCTTGTTAATGTTAAACAAAAATGAAATAATCATTGTGTTATGATGGCTGCATTCAGCAGAGAAAGCAGCTTTGCAACTACTACAAAATTCTTTAATACGATTGGTCTTGCTCTTAGTTCCTCCCAGTATCTAAATATATGAACATGAAGAAATCATATTAATGAGTTTTGCTGGAAAACACCTTATGTTTTCCTTTTAGACGACAGCTGACACAAATGTCATTCTATCCTCGTTAGTACTCAATAAATAAGAAAGATAAAACGACACTTGTGTCAACTGTGTCTCATAAAAGGAAAGCAGCCTAAATATTCGAGACTCTCACGATTCTCTGTTCAAATCTTTACATTCTGTGTGCGCCTACAAGCGAAACCGTCACAAGGACGATTCGCGACGACGTCGGCGTCTCTCCGTTGACCTGACTGATCGGGGAGCAGTGACAGACGTAATCCATCTGTCTTGTCCTCTTTCTTCCTCTCTCTCTCTCTCTCTCTCTTATTCGCACTCACCTGTCTTCATGAATAGCGTGTGCTCGAACGCAGCGGCGCCCGGGCGCACTTGCGCGGCCGAACGACGTGTCCCTCCGTCGTTGTCGTCGCCGTCGTCGTCGTCGAGCAGACACGCTCTCTACTTCCTTCCCTCACTCTCTCTCACTCTCTCTTTCTTCCTCGGGCACGCGCGCGCGCGCGCGCTCTTTTTCGTTGCTGCCTTGGTCTCGAAGGCGACAGCCCGTCACCCAGGAAACCGCGCGCCGCAGGCGACTCGTAGGTCTCTCGTGGCGCTCGCTCGCTCGCTCGCTCGCACGCACGCACGTACGCACGGCGCCGACACAGAGCGCGAAAAGAGCGGGGCGACACACTCCGACGGACCCCCTATACTTTGTTGTGGACGGCTGGCCGGAGTGGTGTTGCTTGTCTGCTGCTACGGTCGCCTTGACTACGGCATCACTGACCGCGTCACGCGCAGGGCCGTATGCGATGCGTGCGGCACCACGACGCTTCCTTCGCGCGATTCTTTCCCGCTTCGTTCCCGTTGCGGCACGTTGAAAGCGAGCGTCTCTTCCTTGAGGAAACGTCACGAAGGAAACTTTCTCACTAACGCGCGTCCATTTTTTCTCATTGCTACATTTTTTATATTTGGAATTTTACTTTTTTTTCTCTTCAACAGCCGAATTATCGTTTTCAGTGTAAAAATTTGTGGCGACTTCTAGCAACGCGAACAGATCGTTTAGATCTTTGAGAAATTGGAAAAATCGAGAGAAGAATGAATTTGAATCGGCTACCGAAAGAATTCCCGCGTTTTTTGGAACGTGAATGGTAAGTACCTGATTTTGGCGCCACAAAAATTTGGCGCATTGCTTGCCACAATTTTGATTTTCGAAAGATTCGAAGATCTTTCACATTGGAAAATGAGAACGGACCGAATGTTTCCATCCGGAAACTGTAAATGAGGAGGTGAAATGGGATGAAACGCGATTAGCCGATAATCCACGAATTTTTTTTCCGCCGCCGTCGATGCGTCGATGGCGAGAGCGCACGTCATAATGCGGTTTTTGAGCGCCATCTGTGGAGCATACATGCAAATGCTACGCCAATGACGTACTAAGTAGCCGCTGCCCCCATTTCTGTCTCATCTTATTATTAGTAGATAACAAATTTTGATTAATTAATTTAATTTAATTAATTTATAAAGGCCCTTTTTCACCAATATAGATTAACCCAGATAAACACACGATATTTTGACGATATTCTATGTCACAACATACATATATGTATATATTTAGAATATTCCTACTTCCACTTATTTCTTTTATTTAAGAGCAATAATAATTAAAAAATAATTAATTAAAATATCCTAAGAATATCATATGTGCTAGTCTGGAAACTTTAATTTTGCTTCAACTTACAGCGAATTTAGTTGCGAGTGCATTATATGTAGTACATATTAAAACAATTTTGTACATTGATAAAACTTCTTGTATAAAAATAAAATAAAAATATTCCGAATTGTAAAATACAGATTTTACTTAACACAATAAAATGTGTTACAAATTTCATAGTTTAATAAGTTTTTATATTTTTATAAGACATATTTTTATGTATATAATTTGTGTAAGGTGCAGCTTTAATGTGCACCAATGCGTACTGTGCGCATCCAATCGAATTCACTATTACTCTTCATCTTCTTTAATTGTACAGCTGATTTTTCATGTACAACATGACAGCATGTTACAGCGGCAAAATGCTATTATATTGGTTAAAAACTTTTGTGAAATGGTATACACTTTCGAACTTGAATTACATATATATGACATTTTGTTGCCACAGCGTGTTACATATATGAAAAGTCAGCTTTAAAAAATTATAAAAAAATAAAAAATAAGTTGAATCAAAATTAAATATATTGATGGAAAGGGCGAAAATTATTCGTAAAAGAATTAATTTATAAAGCAATGTCTACCTTATTAAACACAGGAATTACTAATTTTACTTAATTAATTATTTAATTTAATTAAAAATTAGATATATTTTTAAGAAAGATTTAGATTAAGGATAACGAATTGCATAATAATAACGTTGCTTTTAAATAAATCATCTTAATCAGTTAACATATCTGTCCACTTATCCATATATTGTTCACATGGATATTATAGATGTATAAATCCTTTGTTCAATTTAAGAAAAATTAAATTATAGGGACAATTAACTATACATAATTTAAGATTTTGTAATAAATGATTGCTAATTAATTCTGTTGAATATCAAATCATTTTGATAAATTAATCAGAGTTTAGTCATTTATGTACCCTCGTATTATTATTCCGAACGACATTCATTCATTAAATTTAAAGAAAAAAAAAGAGAGAGAGAGAGAGAGAAGAGGAAATTAAAATACAATATAAAAGTTATAATTAAATAACTAAATTATAAAATTAATAAATTTCTTTTTAGAATCAAACTCATACAATACAATAGTTCTCCGAGAGACGTCGTTAGGTGGTGGATGACCTTTGAAGATGTTTTTATATGTCTCTTGGAGAACAAAACGTATATCTATATGTCATATATGGGAATGTATGCAATTAGACATAACTTTTGCTCAAATGGAGAATTTATTATTAATTGTTCTAAATAAATCAATAATATTAATAATTAAAAAAATTAATAATAAAAGATCAAGAGAGCGAGGTTATAGTGGAGACGATTGGCGACTTCAACGAGTGATCGATCATCCCATTGTCCGTTCATTGTGACGAGGAAAAAGGGTCGCGAGATATGCAAGACACGTGCCGAAGCCCGTCAATATTAAAAAAAAAAAAAGAAGGAGATAATCGCTTACACAACAGTGATCGGTTTCTAATGAAGTAACGAGGCATATCCGACTGGTACTCGTTCGTCATCAGCGCAAACTCAAGATTTTCACAGCAGAAGGACGGCGGGACCACAAAATTGAAATTCACTACGCCAGCTCTTTCCATATCCGTGTTCCCTGCCAATCTTGTGAAGAAAAATTCGTTACACTTCCCTGAGACGCCGTCTTTATGAGAAATATAACCTCCGTTAACGAGAAGACTTTTAAAAATAGAGGAGACACGAGTCTCGTCGTTGCGATAACAATTGCGAATCGCTATCGATTCATTTCGGAGAATTTTATAAAATGAGATGAATTCTCGATTTTAAATTACGTTTACTTTTAAAGTATATCTACTTATAATACTCTTTTTGTGGTCATAAAACTTCTGGCTCCATTCATTAAAATTTGATATATTTATAAAATTATATGTATAACATATAATAGAATTATATCAATACACAACGAAATACGCTTATATAAGAAAATGGGAGTCAACGCAATTATTCGTGCGATTATCTTATGTTTATTCTACAAAAATACGCGCAATATGTTACATTTGATGACAATATGCGCAAAAATATTGAATTTTTCAATTTATTAATAAAAATAAAAGCTTAATTTGGGGGGGACTACATATATATATATATATATTACTTTGGATAAATATTGCGAAGAATATTGCTACGTCGACCCGCCATCAGAGGTCTATCGATATTCGCAAATTCTCGTAAATGCTTTGACACGCGTTGAAAGAAAGATGCGATGGACATTCTGGACAAGATAAAGTCTTCGTTTATCAAACGATTGAATGACCGATTGAAACAATGTTTCACCATGTTGTGATAGGAGAGAAAAAAAATGTTTCTATGTTTCTCTATTTATCAGACTCTTACTATAGTCTTTTCGTATTACATAATTGTTATTTATCAATAAAAATTATGTTTAAAAAATGTAATTAAAAAATTAATGAAAAAGGTACTAAGGTATGGACTCTCTATTAATTAAAAAATGCAGATTTAAAAATATTACTATGAAATCGGAAAAGTAGTGGCTCAGAAAAAAAGAGTAGGCAACTTTTAATCGTACTAATAAGGATTGAGTCAGCTATATTGCAGTAATCTTATGTATTTTGTGTACGAAACATGTATGTACACAAACATGTTGCTTCGTTTGCAAACGACAGCGACGCCGACGACAGCTAAGAATGTGGGTCAATCGGATATCTTACGTCCAACGCGAAGTTGGCGCAGCATTTTGAATCGATGATCAATGTGCGTGTCGCACATGCGCATCTCGCTCGCAGTGACGGATTTAGGTTACCTGTGGGCCCTAAACAGATTCAAATTGAGAAAAATGTATAAACGATTCTTGTTCGGTTCAATTTTTGTAAACAAGCAAAATGATCCGTAATATAATCATCCTCTTCATCTAAAATTAATTAATCTTAAATTAATTTCAATCTAAAATATTAATCTCCTTAAAATTAATCGATTTAACATTAATCAGCTTGAAATTGATTTAAAATTAAAATAAAATTCAGTCTAAAATCTATCCATATGCTTTTATAAGAAATTTCAAAAATTAGCAAGAAAGAGAGAGAGAGAGAGAGAGAGAGAGAGAGAGAGAGAGAGAGAGAGTTTGTCGAGACTCAACGTATTTTGTAAAAAAAATTCGTATTAATGATATAACGTAATGAAATGATGCATTGGCAATATATTTGAATTATAAATAAAATTGTTTATATGATAACTACAATGCGACAGTATATAGGTGAAGGGCTCTTTTTTGTGCATCCTTTTGCAGTAATTTATCGCTCGCGCGCGGCGTCTGCGCGAAGATGTCATATGTTGTCAACTTGTCAGTAGTTGTCTAGCGATTTGTGAAGGTGGTTGACATATCGGTTTGTTGTCTGATCACCAGAAAAATGATGACCTCGTCGGAAACTTCGGAAATGGAGAACCCAGGAGAAGAAAAGGGCGCCGAGGACTCGGCGATCTTGGAGGTGAGCTCAATGGCAGTGGGCGGGATTGTGAAGCAAGAGAGTCGCGACGTCGACTACCTGTCCAACTGCAGCACCTCCATCGAGGGATCCGTGGTATGAGTGTAACATAACCTGGGACCCAATTTGACAGTTCCCCATGCCTCACTCATACTGTCATCCTGTTGCTCTGGAAATGATTAATAAATTAAAATTATAGTAAATAACATAATGTATGTGACATGTACGCGGTAAACTCATAATGATTTTGATCATTACTCCATATGTTCGATTCATGAATTTGGCTCTGTAGAACCATATGATTCATTGTTGATTGATAAATATTAAGGAATTTATGTAATCTTACAACTATGTCTCTTTCCATTAATAGCTTGTTGATCCCCTAAAGCTCTCTTTTATTACTTGCTCTAGTTTATTATCCTAAAAGAGATCAATAAATTTATATTATAGTACACAACATAAAATATATGTGATATAATATATGATTTTGATCATCACTTTGTGTATTTGATTATGAGTTTGACCCTGAAGAATTTCATACAGTTAATCATTAACTGATAAATATCAAAGAATTTTCAAGCTTATTTTTCTTTCTATCTATAGTTTGTTAACTGACTTTAGTTCCTTATCTTTTGTTTGCATTTGCCTTGAAAGAGATCAATGAATTAGAGTATAGTAAATAATACTTATATATATA